TGCACTCACCCTCTGGAACTCCATCCCACAGTCCCTCCATCTCGCACCCTCCCTCGCCACCTTAAAAACCCACCTCAGGCCCCTCCTCTTTGACCGTACTTTTGATCTCCCTGCTTCCCCCCGCTGCCCTCCACCATCCCCGACCCTCAGCTCGGGTCCGTAACTTTGTTGGTCCAGGGCCTTGGGACGTCCTCCCGACGTGAAAGGTGCTATACAAATGTAATTTTTTTGTTGTTGTTGCTGTGCGTCTGAGTGTATGTGTGTGTATCGTTTTTTGTGTCTGTTTGAGTGGAGGTGAGAAGAAATTTTTTCACGCAGCGAGTTGTTCGAATCTGGAACGCATTGCCTGAAAGAATAGTGGTGGCCAATTCAATAACAACTTTTAAAAACGCGGTGGACGAGTATTTGAGGAGGAAGGATTTGCAGGGTTATGGGGAAAGGGCTGGGGAGTGGGATTGACATAAATTGCTCTATTCAAAGAGCCGGCACAAACTCGATGGGCCGAATGGCCTCTTTTTGTGCTGTACGATTCTATGATTCTATGATGTGTCTCTCTCTGTATTTGTGAGTGTCTGTGTGTGTCTCTCTATGTGGTTGTGAATGTGTCTGTGTGTGTGTGTCTCTATGTGTTTGTGAGTGTCTGTGTGTGTCTCTCTCTATGAATGTGTCTCTGTGTGAGTATTTGTATGTCTCTATGTATTTGTGAGTGTCTGTCTCTCTCTGTGTCAGTGTGTGTCTCTCTCTGTTTGTGAATGTCTTGTGTGTGTCTCTCTGTGTCTGTGTCTGTGAGTGTATGTGTGCGTGTTGTTGTCTATATCTATGTGTCTCTCTGTATTTTTGAGTGATTGTGTTGTCCCTCTATGTGATTGTCTGTGTGTGTCTCTCTATGTATTTGTGAGTGCCTGTGTGTTCTCTCTCTCTGTGTGTGTCTCTCTATGTGTCTGTGATTGTCTGTATCTGTCTATGTGTTTTTGAGTGCCTTTGTATGTGTGAGCAGGAATGTGTGTGTGTGTCTCTCTATGTGTTTGTGAGTGTCTGTGTGTGTGTGTATCTCACTTTCTGTAGCTGTGTGTGTCTCTCTCTGTATTTCTGAGTTTCTATATGTGTGTCTCTCTCTGAATTTGTGAGTGTCTTTTGTGTGTGTCTCTCTATGTGTTTGTGAGTGTCTGTGTGTGTCTCTCTCTCTATGAGTGTGAATGTCTGTGTGTGTGTAAGTATCCATGTCTCTATGTGTTTGTGTGTCTGGTGTGTCTCTCTCTGTGTCTGCCTCTCTGTGTTTGTGTCTGTGTGTGTCTCTCTGTATGTTTGTGAGTGTCTCTATGTGTTTGTGAATGTCTGTGTGTGTTGTTAGAATATACTGCTAGAATCATAATAGATGTTGTGAATGGGTTAACTTTTAAGTTAAGTGTGGGGGACAACTGGACTGACAGTCATGGGATAGTACACATCTGTTTTTCTCTGTTTTTGAAAGAATAACGGACAGGGGCAGGGGGTCACCTCTTATCAGTAAATGACAACAAGCCCACAGAGGTAATGGTCCAAGGTACCAGTCGACACAGGATCTCGACTGAGCAATAAGTCGCTAGATGCTGACAGGGCCTGACAAGCGACAGAAGGCAACCCTCAAGAATAGCAACTGATGAGCAAGTTGCTTAAACTAGAGGACCTTGGTACCATCCCGGGATACTGATAAGAAATAACCAGTCACTTAAAAGGAATGTACTAATGATCCCACACCACAAAATAATGAGCACCAGTTACAGCCCTAAACTGTTCAATCCTCTATCTTAAGACAATTAGATCAGATAACAGCGGTCTTAAGGACAATGTGTATGTGCTGAGGCACGTACACCCCATGAGGTGCTCACGTGAAGCCGGCATGATTTCGACCAGGTGATCTAATGTCCGCACCATGATTGGATGAACATTGGTATAAGAGTTCCGTTAACTTTGTAGATGGGGCCGTCCCGGGTCACGGAGACAAGGATAAGAGAGATGGAGCCGTCCCGGGACGTGGAGACAAGGATACGGGAGATGGAGCCGTCCCGGGTCGCGGAGACAAGGATACGAGAGATGGGGCCATCCCAGGCTGTGGAGACAAGGGTACGGGAGATGGAAGACTGAGAGCTAGAAACACTAAGACTGAGGATATCAGATGGAAGATTGAAAGCTGTTAGCAAGAAGACTGAAAGCATGAAGAATCAATAATAATAATAATAATAATCTTTGCATTTGATATAGCGCTTTTCACGTCGGGAGGACATCCCAAAGCGCTTCACAGAACACACTGTAAAGTGAATTGACTGTATATTTGTGGGCGAACGCGGCAGCCAATTGCGCACAGCAATGTCCCACAAACAGTCGTGGATTGAAAATGACCAATTTATTATTGTTTTTGGTTTTGGAGGGATTATTATTAGGCTCTGTGTGGAGTAAGGAAACTTGCCCAAGGTTTCGCCCTCTGCCTGGAATTGAACTCAGGTCTCTCACTTGCAAAGCGAGTGCTCTAACCACTGAGCTACAGGACTCCAAAACCACCATTTCCTGCTGAAGGCAGCTTAATAGTCCTGCTTGTGTACTGTAAAGACACAGTGTTGAACTCTTGAACTCGAGATATCTATAGTGGTGTTATTCTGTTATAAGATCTGTTGATTGTACCGGTCTTTGGTCTGACCCATCGGGATATTGGGGAATAACGAACGAATAATAATAAAACAGTCTGATATCTGGTTAGAGCAATTAGCGTTATTTCCTTACAGATTTGGCTGATTTTATTTTCTAACAGTGTGAGGGTATGTGTGTATGTGTGTGTCTCTCTATGTTTGTGATTGTCTGTGTGTGTGTCTCTATGAGTTTGTGAGTAATTGTATGTGTTTGTGTGGCTCTCTCTATGTTCATGAGTGTCTGTGTATGTGTGTGTCTCTCTATGTGTGTGAATCTATCAGTGTGGTTATTTATGTGTGTGTCTCTCTTTCTGTTTGTGGGTGTCTTTGTGTCTCTCTGTGTCTGTGTGTGTATGTCTATGTGTTTGTGAATGTCTGTGTGTGTGTCTCTGTCTGTCTCTATGTGTTTGTGAGTGTCTGTGTGTGTCTCTCTATGTGTTTGTGAGTATCTGTGTGTGTCTCTCTATGTGTTTGTGAGCAATCCATCACCAGTATCATAGCATGGCCGACTTGCCTCCAGACAAGCAGTCCAACATTAGCACAAACGCCATTAAGGCAGAGTAGATGCACATCTCAGCTGGAATGGGAATAAAAGATACACCGTGATCTAATAAAATGGGCTCGTCGGGCTGCTCTGTGCCTGTGTCTCAGTGTGTACTTTATCAATGAGGTTTGCCGAGTCTGAATTTGATGTCTATATAAATACCACAAATGGCATTTCATTTAGATCACTGCTTTCTGTTTATATTAATCCTGATCTTACCAGTGCCGTAATAAAACGGATTCCACCAGATTATATAATAATCCTTGCATTTGATATAGCGCTTTTCACATCTTCTCGACGTCTCAAAGCGCTTCACAGAATAGACTGTAAAGTGAATTGACCGTATATTTGTGGGCGAAACGGGCAGCTAATTGTGCACAGTAGTGTCCCACAAACAGTTGTGGTTGAAATGACCAATTTTTATTATTGTTTTGTTTTTTTGGAGGGATTATTATTGTGGTCTTTCAACTGAACTTTGAAGTCAGAAGTAAACAGGAAATTCAGACTGAACTATTTCAAAGTCAACAGGTTACTGGGAGGGAGGAGAGGTGGTAGTGAAGCAAATAGTAAAAATGGGTTTAAGAGGAACCTAAATCCTATTTTTGGAGAAAGAAGGGACATCTGTGCAGGAAACAAGGGAGCAAAGATCATAAAAGCATCAGGGTTTTGGGCAAATGGTCTCTTCCTGTTGCTAAAATGATTTATCTCTTCCCTGCTTCTCCTGCTCCCCTGAAGGCTTATAGATCTTTAAACCCCACTCCGTATTCTGACCTGCCTAGCTTTCCCCCACCTCTGGAATATTGCTCACCTCCACCACTATGCCAATGCTCTGCTTGCAGGACTACCCAATTCTTCCCTTCGCAAGCTGCAGTCTATCTAGAACCCTGCAGCCTGTGTCCTTTCCCGCACAAGGCTCCACAAGTCAACCACCCCCATCCACAAAACACACCCAAATCCCCTTTCAGTGTATCCTGTGAAGCGTTTTGTGACATTTCTAAGACATGATAAGGTTCTATATCAAATGCAAGGATTATTATTATTATAATTATATTATTATATCCACACCTGGCTCCACACCCCCCAGAGAATTGAATTCAAGATCCTCATCTTCACTTTTAAATCCCTCCATGGTCTTGCCCCATCCTATCTTTGCAATCTCCTCAAACCATACCAAACCTGCCTCTCCCTTCTCTCAGTGAGCACTGGTTTGCTTCATGTCCCCTGGTCTACCCTCCCCACTATCGGCCGTCGAGGTTTCAGCCTATCTGCCTCCAACTTTTGGAACTACACCTTTAAGTCCCTCTGACTCATGCCCTCCCTCACCTCTTTCAAGGTCCATCTTAAGACCTTCCTCTTCAACTGCATCTTTGGTTATTTGACTCTCCCAATCCTTTTTGGTTTTCATCCAAGCTTGAGTGCAGTACAGTGTTGGAATGTCCTCCCGACATGAAAACTGCTATATAAATGTAAATTTATATTGTACTGTATTATAGTATTATATATTATACACTGTTGCCTCTGAATTAGAAGATTGAAAGTTCAAGCCCATAGCAGGACTTTGATACGTGCATTGCTGTGGGAGTGCTCAGTTGTCAGAGGTGCCATTCTTCGGATGAAATGTAAATCTGAAGTCCCTTGTGCCTGTTCAGATAGGAGGACGTTAAAGATCCCAAATCACTCTTTGAAAAGAGGAATTTTTCCTGGAATCCAGACCAACAATACCCCAGATAAAATTAGTCATTCTCTTCATGTGGAAAATTTCTGTGTGCCCTCTCTACCCATTTTATGCTCACCTTTAGGAGTTGTATGCAGGGGGTCAGTGAGCAAACGTTCACTGTTTGCTGCTCGCTTAAATCGCCGTGGAAACCGTCCCCGATACCGCTCATTCTCCTCGCTCTCTGATGATGCCAACGAGAGGCTGCGCTCCTCATCCAATGACAGGTCACTGTCAGTGTCAGAATCAGGGCCTGTGCATAGAATGAGAACATATATACACATATAAGAACATAAGTTGACACTCCAATGCAGTGCTGAGGAGAAGTTGCATTGTCAGAGTTGCCCTCCTTTAGATGAAATGTTAATTCAAGCTCCTGTCTGTTTGTTCAGGTGGATGTCAAAGATCCCATGGCACTTTTTGAAAAGGGAAGGGACTTTCCTCCAGTATCCTGGCTGATAATCCCCCAAATAAAATTAGTCTTCAGTTGGCAGTATTATGGGACACTGCTGTTTGGAAATTGGCCGCTGTGTTCGCCCAAAAAAGCACACTCAGTATACTTCACAGTACAACAGCAACAACTTGCATTTATATAGTGTCCCTCATGCAGGGTAGTGTCCCAGAGCACTTAAATCCTACAGTAAATAGTACAAAGCATTTGGGGACGTCCTCCCAATGTGAAAGACGCTGTACCAAATGGAAGGATTATTATTATATAAATCTAGAACTCTCTGTGGGAGGGAGGGAGGAATTGGTCTCAGAGCTCGACCAGGGCCTAGTGCAAACATCACATACAGCCTGACCAGGTCCCTTCCGTTAGGGTTGTAAATTTAGATGGTCAGGCACATGATGACCTGCGAGTGCCATCCTGGAAGGAAACACGCGGCCCTGGCCTCCACGAAGCTGCATCTCCAATGACATTCACTCCAGGCGCTACTCCACGTGAAGGGTGCTTTTAAATGAAAATTTACTGTCCCACTGACCACATTGCTGTGCCACTGACTGCTACTCTGATTTTCTTTATCTGAACCACCTATGCCACGTGCCACTGCACAGAAGTCACTCGATAGAAATTGGGAAATCAGATATTTGAAAAGTGGGCAAAATAGAGCTTGCCTTTTACTAGCAAGCAAATCAGAGCCTTGCATGAAAGTGATATTGAATGTACTTCTCACACCTCAGCTGCCAGCTAGCCAGTTTTTGAAACCTAATCAGAAAACAACTATATTTTTAATAAACTGGAGAGTTACGTCTGGAGTGAGGTGAAGCCAGAGTGAGAAGGAACTGAGTGAGTTTGGGAATTAGGTGCAGAGGGGAAGTAGGTGTAAGGTTGTAGTATATCTTCTAAGCTAGGAGAGCACGGGGCGGAACCGAGGCCCAGCCGTGTATATAAAGTACAGCCAGGTGAGGAGCCATTCAGTCGGGAGCGGAGGTAGGAGCTGAGGGGATGGGGCGGGCGCATTTCACAAAGTGACGTCAGCGTGACGTCAGTTAATAAAAAAATTATTAAAAAATCGCAGCAACAACAACAATGGCCTGGCAGCCACTGCCACTCAGCCATGACCTGGGAGGCTACGCCTGTGGGCTGATGCCGTCCTGCTGATCGCTCGCTCCTGGTCTCTGCGTGTGCATTTTGGCTGCCGCCCCAACTCGAGCCTCCCCTTAAATGTCTCTCCTTCCACCTCCCTCTATCCGCTACTCCCCCTCTGTCCTTCTCTCCCACCGCCCTCCCCGCCTTTTCTCTCTCCTCAACCCCATCAACACTTGCCTCTGCTCCGGCCTGGGCATCCTCCTCTGGGCCCATCGTGGCTCCTGGCACTAGCTGTCCCAGAGCAACAACCCCACATGTCCAATCATTCACTCCCTCCGCTCAAACCGCCTCCTTAAGGCAAACCCAAATTTCCCGTCCCTCATATGTATCCTCCCCAACTTTCCACTCACACCACTCTCCACAACCATCTCTCCTGTAAACCGAAAATCCTCTCCGCACCACTCTCTCCTCCCTCCCCCCTCACCAGCAAACCCACCCGCATTTCCCTCCAAAATGTCCGTTCCCTCTCAAATAAAGCCCTCACCATCCCCGACATCATCCTGGATGAGCACCTTGATATTCTTGGGCTCACCAAAACCTGGCTCTCCCCCAATGACCCCGTCCCCTAGTTGAAGCCTCCACTCCAGGCTACATCTTCCACCACACCCCCCGTCCAAACCAACGTGGCGGTGAGGTGGCCTACATTTCCAAAGCCTCCCTTGTTCTTATCCCCTACTCCTCTAGCTGCTTCCCCTCCTTCAAGCATCTCACCCTCTTCCACCCCTCTCTCCCTTTGAAAATCCTCCTTGTTTATCACCCCCTAAGCCCTCCGGCTCCTTCCTCACAGACACCTCTACTCTCCTCTCTTCCGTGTCTCTCTGCTCCAAGCGCCTGCTCATAATGGGCGAATTCATCCTCCACCTAAACTCCCCCACCCTGCACCACTTCTGCCGATTTCACTGCCCTCCTCTCCTCCCTAAACCTCACCCTCCAAATAAATTCACCTACCCACAACCGTGGTCATGCCCTTGACCTCATCATCACCCACGGCCTTGACATTTCCGACCTCAGCATAGTGGTCCCCTCTCACATCCCTCCCTCACATCAAGTGTTGAGGGGGTTGAGGAAGCGGTTTGAGCGGAGGGAGTGAATGATTGGACATGTGGGGTTGCTGCTCTCGGACAGCCAGTACCAGGAGCCACGATGGGCCCAGCGGACCACGATGCCCAGGCTGGAGCAGAGGTGTTAGAATTTACACTTTTTGTATACTGCTAGAATCATAATAGATGTTGTGAATGGGTTAACTTTTAAGTTAAGTGTGGGGGACAACTGGACTGACAGTCATGGGATAGGACACATCTGTTTTTCTCTGTTTTTGAAAGAATAACGGACAGGGGCAGGGGGTCACCTCTTATCAGTAAATGACAACAAGCCCACAGAGGTAATGGTCCAAGGTACCAGTCGACACAGGATCTCGACTGAGCAATAAGTCGCTAGATGCTGACAGGGCCTGACAAGCGACAGAAGGCAACCCTCAAGAATAGCAACTGATGAGCAAGTTGCTTAAACTAGAGGACCTTGGTACCATCCTGGGATACTGATAAGAAATAACCAGTCACTTAAAAGGAATGTACTAATGATCCCACACCACAAAATAATGAGCACCAGATACAGCCCTAAACTGTTCAATCCTCTATCTTAAGACAATTAGATCAGATAACAGCGGTCTTAAGGACAATGTGTATGTGCTGAGGCACGTACACCCCATGAGGTGCTCACGTGAAGCCGGCATGATTTCGACCAGGTGATCTAATGTCCGCACCATGATTGGATGAACATTGGTATAAGAGTTCCGTTAACTTTGTAGATGGAGCCGTCCCGGGTCACAGAGACAAGGATAAGAGAGATGGAGCCGTCCCGGGTCGCGGAGACAAGGATAAGAGAGATGGAGCCGTCCCGGGTCGCGGAGACAAGGATAAGAGAGATGGAGCCGTCCTGGGTCGCGGAGACAAGGATAAGAGAGATGGAGCCGTCCCGGGTCGCGGAGACAAGGATAAGAGAGATGGAGCCGTCCCAGGCTGTGGAGACAAGGGTACGGAGATAGAAGACTGAGAGCTAGAAACACTAAGACTGAGGATATCAGATGGAAGATTGAAAGCTGTTAGCAAGAAGACTGAAAGTATGAAGAATCAAGCTTGTGTGCTGTAAAGACACAGTGTTGAACTCTTGAACTCAAGATATCTACGGTGGTATTATTCTGTTATAAGATCTGTTGATTGTACCGGCCTTTGGTCTGACCCATCGGGATATTGGGGAATAACGAACAAATAATAATAAAACAGTCTGATATCTGGTTAAAGGAATTAGCGTTATTTCCTTACAGATTTGGCTGATTTTATTTTCTAACAGAGGCAAGTGTTGATGGGGTTGAGGAGAGAGAAAAGGCGGGGAGGGCGGTGGGAGAGAAGGACAGAGGGGGAGTAGCGGATAGAGGGAGGTGCCAGGAGAGACATTTAGAGGGAGGCTCGAGTCGGGGCGGCAGCCAAAATGCACACGCAGAGACCAGGAGCGAGCGATCAGCAGGACGGCATCAGCCCACAGGCGTAGCCTCCCAGGTCATGGCTGAGTGGCAGTGGCTGCCAGGCCATTGTTCTTGTTGCTGGGATTTTTTAATAATTTTTTTATTAACTGATGTCACGCTGATGTCACTTTGTGAAACGCTCCTCCACCAAGCCCTCAACCATCCTCTACCGCCCTTGGAAAAGGCTACCCCCTGAGTCCCTCACAAAGGCCCTCTCATCTTCAAAAATATCCTATCCGTCTGGCCTTCCACCCGCGGAGATCCTGAAGCAGCCGTCCAGCTGCTCCATGACCGCCTCTCCTCCACTTTCAACTCCCTCGTCCCCCTGAAATCCAGGACCATCTCCAAACCCACCCGATTCCCCTGGTACAACAACCATCTCCGCCGCCAAAAAACCCAAACCCGACTGCTCGAGCGAAGATGGCGGAAAACTGGCCTGACAGTCCACCGCCAACTGTGGCTCGAGCATCTCCACAGCTACCGCCGTTCTTTGACACGCGCAAAAACGTCCTTCTAATCCATCAACTTGGAGGCTAAACACAACCCCAAAATCCTTTTTTCCACCACTCACTACCTCCTCCATGGTCCCCCTCAGGCCTCCTCAATCTTCATATCAAATGCCAAGTGCGAGGAGGTCATGGACTTCTTTTCAACTAAAATACTGAACATCCGCCAGACAGCCTCATCCTGCCTCTTGTCACCCACCATCATGCCCTTTCTGTCCCCCTCACCCTCCCCATCATCTGCTCCTACCACCACCCCCTTTCTACACTCTTTCCTCCCATCTCTCCCTCCTCCCTCTCACCCACCATCACCTCCATGAAACCCACCACCTGCTGCCTCGACCCCCTCCCCACCAACTTGCTGCTCACCCAGCTCCCCCTCCTCTGCCCACTACTGGCTGATGTCATCAACCAGTCCCTCGCCTCCGGATCAGTCCCTGCCACCCTCAAAACTGCTGTCATCACACCCCTCCTGAAAAAACCCTCCCATATCCCTCAAACCCCAGCCATTACACCCTCTATTTCTAACCTGCTCTTCCTCTCAAAAGTTCTAGAACGCATTGTTGCAAACCAACTACGTGCGCACCTCTCCTCCCACTCCCTCTTTGAACCCCTCCAGTCCGGTTTCCGCCCACAGT